CCCATTGTTAAAACTGCCATCGAAAAGACTTAAAATGTAGCTTTCCATACAGAAAAAAAAGTTTGAGAAATGTATTCAGAAAGGGCAAATCCAGCTTCACAGAAAAATAATATTTTTACATGTGTTGGGAAGAGGGTGGGACAAAAGGAGAACTCCAATTTATAAAATTTATTTTTCAATGCCTTTCAATGCAGAATTTTGCTGCAGAAGCAAGTGGGCTATGATCTCATGTCAAAATGGCTTCCTGTCCAGAGCACCAGAGCAATGTTTATGTGAGGAGAGTAGGGCAGCTTAAGTATTTTACTGGAAGGAGTCCTGAAAGTTTTAACATATTACTCCTGAGAGCAAACGTCAGGAAATGAGCCTCATTGCTCTATATTCTAAAGGGAAGTGGGTTATGACAATATATGAGCTCTAATTTAAGACATTAAGCGAGTAAAACACTTTTTGCTATTAAAAAGCCCCTAATGCATAAAGAAGAATCACATTAAATTACAACTTTTGCAACACATGATATTAATTAGCTTTGTCGCTGGCACTTGGAAACAAAGGAGAACTTAAAACTGTTAGACTAAACAAAATTATAAATTAAATCAGAAAAAGTGAAAAAAATGGTGTTCTGCTCTGAAGGAATAAACAAAGTGTGCACAGGCAACAACTTATTTTTTAACCCCTTTTTTAAATATAACATAATATTTTTAAATATAGGATAAATATACGATAAGTCATGTTTAAGGTTCTAAGTATTTTCAGACATACAAAATAACGTTTTAAGGTGCCATTTTATTTTCATCACTAAAATATGCTTGTGGTATTTACTTTCAGATTAAAAAGCAGTCCCAGTTTATATGCATTTCTGGTTAGCCAACATACTAACTTTTGTCGCATTTAAAAAAGAAAGATGCTTTCATGAACTGCAGACATTGAGCTAGTTCTATTGTTAAAGACATATGGTGAAACCAAATGAAAAATTAACTCCCGTGAAAAAATCAGCTCAAAGAACAATGTCATATTCTCATTTTCATACCCAGAAATGCAATAATATAACCTATAATCATACAGATTCTTTTATCAATTATAGCATTTTTCATGTTTTTATTTTGGGCTTTGCTCTAAGTGAGACAGACCACCTGTAATTCATTAGTAGGGGACCAAAAAAAGAATATTTTCCCATCATAGAAAGAAAAGATGGGAGAGAAAAGAACAATGAACCACAACACACTTTCTACACCGAAAGCAAATATTCCAGCACAAGATGCTTAGAAGATATATTGTATTCTTACCATTCTTCTTGAAGGTAACTATTTGATGTCTACAGAAAGTAATAATCAGGGAAATTGTAATCCACGGACAATTTTTGCCAAGCTGTTATTTATACAAAGACAACTTTTGAGGTTAGGTAGCTCTGTACAGTGCATTTAATAGGCACTCACAACCTCACTCTACTTAAGAGCCAATTCATGTAATTCATGCTTCAGTTACAGTTCCAATTTCAGAAACTTTTAAAAATACATACTCTACATAAGGAGGAGAAAACTTCTCATTTTTGTTCTTCAACTTTTTTTTTCCACAGTAGAATGTACAAAAACTAGAGCAATCAAATTAAAATGTTAAAATGTGTACCAAAATGATATGTTCTTCAAAATGAATTGGTTGTTTGTTGCTTTTCTGTGCTCCTTTACTGCATCTACTGGGAAAGATTTTTTAAATCTTTTAAGAGCTGTAACTTAAGTTTCTAGAAAAATAAATGAATCTAAGGTATTATCAACTTCCCCAGAAAAGTCCAAAAACCAAGGAAGGACACAAGTCTTACAGGTAAAGACGAAAAACCCTGTAATGACAAACTGGTCCTTTCTTTTGAATTAAAAGGTACATTGAGGTATTGTAGATGCGAAAAATAACTGGGTAAAATAATACCATGAAATAAGCAATGAGAATTATTTTCCGTACTATATATAAATGAGCAAAGTAGCATTTAGGAGAACATGTATTAAATTTAAACAGAAGGTTAAAATAAACATCTTTGACATCTGACTTTCCACTGAGACATTTTGCTGAAAATCACGTGAAGGAAGCTTTTTGTTATCATGCTTTAATGGATACAAAAGGATGAATTGTGTTTTTATTTCTCCTAAACCTATACCTGTAAAATGTAATCAGAGAATTTATTAATGCTAATTAGCTCTTGAGTGGAAATGATGAACTGCAGTGTAACGGTACCTCATTATATTTGTATAACAATAATTACATAATATTATACAGTATTTTATTGAGAGGTTGCTACTAAGCAGACATATTATTGCAGGTTCTTTTTGCCTTCTGTGTAATACTTCTAACACTGATAGAAGAAAATGTGACTGAACAATTTTATCAAATATTTACTGTAGTCACCTTGATCCTTCCATTTTTTTTTTAGATAAGAAAGGCTGTGGTAATGGACTACCTACCAACAAAGTTTACTTTTTCTTGCATGGAAATTGTGTTTCACAATGCATGTCTGAGTTTTGGCACCGGCAACAGACAAAAAGAGGCTTATAGCCACATATCAAGATCTAAGATGAAATAAATCAATCTTTGGTTGGAGAAGTAAAGAGAGAGGTATGGATGGAGGTACTACTGGGAAGAAAATACAAAGTCCAGCAGAATGTGTTGTGAGAGTGCAAATGCTACCAAAATAAAAATAACCCGCATGTACCACTACCTACATATTCAGATCAAAACCATGAGCAAAGTTGGAGATGGATCCGTGTTTTACCTGTAACACAAAAACCACTTCTGGGGATGTTATTAAGATCATATGTCAAGTATCCCGAGTGCGCAAGATGCAAGTACCACATTGTCCAGGACCTGTCAAACACAACTGATGCCCCATGAATGAACATGCATAGAGACAGTGACAGTGATCTCACTTGAAAAAAGCACAAGGAAGTTCTTGCTCATGTGCAACTATGAAAAAGTACTGAACTGTAAAAAGTTGTACTGGACAGTGCACGTGAGGTTACTGAAAAATGGTTTTCCTTACACACTATACATTGCACAATTAGCCCACAACCACATTCAGCTGATCTTTACTTTATTTTTCTTTATAATGTACAACAAAAAAGGATATAGCATTTGTAAGCATGCAAGCATTATGCTGTCAAGTGACCAAATGGTCACCACAATTTCGTTATTATTGATTTTTATTGGGAAGAACAGTAATACAGCTGGGTATTTTACTGAACATTGATTCAGCTGAGTCCATCACTTACGATTTGAACACACAAGATTCTAGTTACTATTCTAGAGCCCAAACAAGAACTCCCTAAATCCTTTCATCCAAAGACACCTACTATAATACATATATACAGTATGTGTGTGTATGTACCAACATATATGGACTTTTTAACTATGTAACGAAAATCTAGCTCAAGGCTCCATAGCTTAAAAGAGTAGATATGTGATTTTCTGTTTTTACATACATTCAGCTACTTGTTAAGAGTCATATTGTGCGAGTCAGAAACAGTTATATTTCTATCTTGCCTTTTAAATCTGGTATACCGATGTGATGGTAAAATAAACTCATGCTCTTTTTCAAAAACTTAGCCAAAACTGGGACATCAATTTTCCAACATTCAAATGATTCTCTATTGCTCAGATGTATCTGATCAGCAATATTAATCTCCAAAGATTTAGATATTTAGATATTAAGGAAATGAATTTCTTTTAAAGGCCTATACAGCTATGGACTCATTAAAAATGTAACCTACTGTCTAGATGGAGTAAGGTGTCCTTTTTAATGATAATTAAAAATAGTTTGTACGTGATTCTATTCTTTTCACGATTGATCACAGAGGTCTGCTGTTACAGAACAAAAGAGGAAAGGGTCTTAGCTCTTTTTTATTACTTACAAAACCACATCATCATCAGTTCAGAAATGAAAGAAAAAAAATATATACTAACAGGGCTCTACACTACTAAGTAATTATTCAAAATTTCCAATTATGTTGTTTTACACTGCACCAAAAAAGAAAATTAAAGTAAGTTTCTGATGTTTCTCTTTTGGTATAATTAAATAATTTCAGACCACAGATTCAAAGCAAAGAATAAATTCTGCATTACTTTGAGAATCACATTTAATACTGTAATTCCTGTTTCTAGTTTTAAGATTTTAACTTAGACCCTGAGGATATTTATAAAGCTGCTTATTTATATGCACATTGAAGGAATTTATATTGCTATCACACTGAATATACTGTACCATGACTACAAACACTCAAGAAAGTTCTGATTAAAATCAGTAGGCAGATGCTACTTCTGCTTTCCTTCCTGAATAACCTAGCCTGTGCCACAATAGTGTAAAAAACTCAACCTCAGAGCACAAAACTCTTAACACAAAATAATTTCTCAGTTTTCTTTTTAGGAGTTCACATAAATTTTGTGGGGAAACAAAACAGTTATGCATTTTGTACAGTAGCTCAAAAAACTACCTCAGATTTTAACGATTTTAAACTACATACAGACTGCAGTCCCTCCTGATATCAAACCCATGCAGTGAAGAAATAAGCGACAAATGCACAAGTTTCCACTGGCATTAAGAGCAGTGTTATGCATGGCACTGATTCTATTTCAAACATCTATATTAAGCACATGAAACTATAGCTCATAACACATGACTTTTCAGACTGCGTCATAGAACTTCTACAGCTACTGCAAACAGATAGCAATGGTTTCCTCCTGACACCTGACTGGAAAACACCTCAGTCTAACCCACAAAAACCAGGAATGCTGAATTTTTATAGTAGAAAAGTGAAACTATATTTATATTTTTATAAATCAGATCTTCATAGCTGGGATTAGTACCACACTACCTTTGTTTTCATTTTCTACCACTAGTTTACTCCAGGATGGGACATGTTAAAAGCAGATCTGACAGGGCAGACCTGACTTAATCATTACTTTTGAATTCCATGTAAAATGAAAAAGACTTTTCACAGTATGCATTTCATAGCTTTTCTTACCTTCATTTTCAGTGGTAGGACATTCCACCTGTACTGCCAGGTCAAAGGTTCTTTCTGGATTCTCGCTGTCAAAGTAAAAAGAAATTGCTTTTAAATGTAATTAAACATTAACTGGATAAATGTAGCATGTGAAAAGTATATGCATTTAATTTGTATTGGCTTATATAAAACGATTTGTTAGCAAATGTTAAGGATTGAGCAGAACGTCCCATTAACAGAAATGAACACCTAGCTTTTCGATGCTCTCATAAGGTCATTTCACGTGTTAACAAACTGAATTCAGACTAGAAGAGAATGGGGGAAATGATTAACGTTTCTGCTATTCCAAAAACTTAAATTAATAATGAATTAGCAAAGATTCTTCATAGGCTTTGGGCCTACATCATATACACACAGTAAAAGCAATTTCACCCTAAGAAAAATGTTCAAATCATGGATAAACAGATCCAGTTCCCTTTTGTGTTAGGAGCTAACACTTGCAAACTTAGTGCATTCCAACGCACGAAAAATAACTTATTTCAACAAACTGACATTCTCATTTCCGAGCCTTTTTGCAATGCACAAACCATCACTTACTTTATCCTGCTGTCCATAGTTACATCTCGACAGCTACAGACCGGCGTGTGTTTTTGCTGTCGGAATCCGGAAAGAAGTCACTGCAAATGCTTCGTCTTGCTAGTGCCTTTGCTTCGATGGTGTCTCATGGGTTTTACGCTCCGTGGTAGCCCAGCATGATTCTTTCAGTTGCTGTTTTTAGATTTTCTATTCTGCTATCTCAGTGTTTCAGTTCCACAGATTTCCCCACTGCACAGAAAACCAGGAAGTAGAACAGAAGCCTTGGTGACGTCATTCCTTTGAACAACACCTGATTTTTGAGCGCAAGTGCTGTATGTATGTGTCATTTCAGTCTACAGCCCACAGTACTCCTTAGGCTGAATCATGTCGTAACCTAGGTTACAAGATGCGGATAAAAAACAGTTTCTTAAAGGATTTGCCATGAAAGTTCTGTTACACCATTAAAAAAAACGTATTTGAGGTGCGGCACCAGTCTGCTGTCAGCGATTGTCAAGAATGGCGTGTAATAGTGCATTAAGTTATTAACTGTAAAAAAAATTCCACATATTGAGGAAAAACTGGCAGAGGCTTGGATATTTTAGTAGGGTAAATGTTTTGACAGTAAGACTACCTTGCCCGATAACCTCGGATCTATTGGAGGAACTCGGATTCAATTCAATTGGGCAATATGGACTTTCATGCCCTAGTCATTGTCAGTCGTATAGTGACTTCTAACGTGCACATCAAAAGTTAGAAGTGCTGCTTGCTGCATATTAAATTTTCATAATGATTATTCAAAAAATAGCTGTGACGGGACACCACTGATGATTAATTTAAAAATGAATGTGCAACTGCTCAGGTTGTTGAAAATCTAAGATTCACCTATCACAAAAATATCACATAAAGCACTAAAATATGTAACTCTAAAACACTGATGTGATGGTGGCAAGTTCCTAACTAAATAAGGATAATGTAAAATTATGTCAAATTTTATTTTTTAAATCAAATATAGTACCATAAAATAGAGTCTTTAATTCATCTCTACCCTTTAATTCTCTGCTTAAATACCTGTCCAAAAGATAATTACAGGTCAGTCTGCAACTGAAAATGTTTTTTTTTAAACCTACCCTTTGTCACTGCATTGACAGGGATGAACCACCACAGTGTTAACTGGAGTTATGGAATGACTCTGCTCTCTCGTCTGTGTCCCTGGATATACAGAATAAAGCCATCAGTGATAAGTGATTTGCAAAAGATAACAACTTCTATCTTTAAATAAAAAGTTCTGTGATAGCTACAGTATGAGTATAACACTATACACATAATATGTTGATAATTGCTTAGATTTTCTAGCACTGGATACAGGAGATAGCACTAGGAATCCTTAAGGTTCTGATAGTAAAGTAATATGATTTTGATTTATTACTGGTTCTTTTACTCAAATATCAAAATGGCAACTGACCTGTAAGGCTGATTTGGGAGAAAGAATAGACCATTTTTACTTTAAAAAAGTATTTCACACAGAATACCAGTGCAGGTTGAGAAAGGTGGGACTTTTCTTGCATAAGGTAAATGTCTTAGTCTGGAATTCTAAATCTTGAACATTCAACCTTTCATACCAAATAAATGGCATAAGTATTCCATGACAGTAAAAATAAATTCACCATTTTAGCTTCAATGTCTTTGTTACTACTACAATAAGTCCCCAAATCTGAAAATGCCTTGAAAGCTGTGGTTTGTCTCGTCTCACGAGAGTCTAACTGGCTGTTATCCAATTTCCTATAGGCAGACTGGAAGGTAATTAAGTGGCTGCAAACTGGGACATGCTGTTGCTAGTATTTACATGAAACAGGAATGCTAACTATCCTGCCAACATTTCTTTCTTAAACAGTTAGCCATTATATGCTTATCTAAACTGGCCCACATGTCCAGCCACTGTTTTAAATGACCAGGAATATTTAATGAAGATATTTTGTCTCTTTTAATAAAAAGGATTAACCACTCAATAAAAAATATAAGCTGTTATTATTGAACCACAAATGCCTTTTAATGTCTTGAATTTCAGTGTTTGAAATGCTAACAATGGTCATAATGAAAAGCAATACATAAATAGTAAAGCGAACCTTACAGTCGAGTATTTGTAGTGTCTTGTTTTCTTTATTTGGAGTGTTTCTTTGTTTTGGGCTATAACTGAAAGGAAATGGCAGGAATGAGTTGTACTGTATATGCAGGCCTTTGAGAAGAGGCCTCTTCTGCATCTGCTAAGCTTGTGCATGTCTACAGCAAAGTCCCCTTTTTTCTCCACTGCCCATGATCCCTCAGCTAAAGCCAATTGTTTAAGAATTTAGTTATAATTGTACACTTCACAAACCTATATTGTCATACTGAATTTACAGTACTTTCATTTTGCAGTGGACAAAACCACACTAAACAACTCCTAACATGACCCCAGCAGGATAGGGAAGTTAAGGTTTAGTCAGTTCTGCATATTCAGATCAAGTACCGACAAAAGAAAAACTGAATATTGAATACAATCAAAATTGAATTCTGCCAAAAACACTTACAATGCAAAATCTGTTTTCTAAGTGTGCACAAAACTAAATTTAAGCCAGCATCTACAGTAGAATACAGTGCACAGCCATATGTTTGACTTGTTCATGTTTAATGTACCTTGGCAACTATGAAACTTTTTTCTCATACATATGGTAAGAGTTTAACAGTGCATTACATTGTACTCAGCTTTTAATTCTAGTCTGCTAAAAAAAAATCTGTCAGTTTCTATTAATCACAACCACATTAGAAAAGATGGTTTAAAGCAATAGTTACCCTTGAAATAATAAAAATCATTGTTATTATTCATGGACCTATGTAAATAACATAATAAAATAACAGTTTTATTTTCATACACTGATCATTGTTTAAATGACTGAATGAATGTTACAGATCTTTTCTAGAATATTTGAATGGAGCCATCAGTGCTTATGAAGATAATATATATATATTGTCAACAGCATTTTATTTTCCCCTTTCCCTTTACATTTCTAGAATTTATGATTCAGTTCACCTATATATAATCTAAATCTATATATCTTGTTAATATTTTGTTTCTCATTTAAAGGTCAGCAGTTTCTACTGGTGTTCTTTTACATGCATTGAAATGTGCGTGGGTGTTGGCGTGAATGAGGACATTAACCAATTTAGTCATATGTGTAATCTGTGTGAATAGACAATGTTTTTTTCTGCAAAAAGATAATTAAATGCAGCATAAAAGTCTCCTTTTTCCTAGTCAAATACTGTTTAGCAACTAAATATACTTATATACAGTATATCATATATTTTATATGCATGTAAATACAGAATGTGTGCAGTTATATTCAATACTGCACACAGCCAAAAATATGTGAAACTAATAGGAAATAAACATTTTGCATAAACCACTTATTAATAATAAAATAAAAATTGATTATCCTCATATAATATGCAAATTCTCCTCACAGTCATAAGATTGAAGACAGATTTCAGAACCTGAATTCATTCAGACAAGAGAATGTATGACACAAGTACACGGACTGCCTGCATGATCAACTGTTCTGTTTAAAAAAAATATAATCTAATAGTGCAGTTAATAATCTAATAATGATCTAATAGTGAGTGAGAAAGGGGTGTAAAGAAAGAGAGTAATAGAAACTTGATCAAATGGAGTTATTTTATTATGGAGTTTTAGTTTCTCTTCTTAATGAAGGCTAGGGTGTGATACTCATCATGAAAGAGAAGTTCACTATAAAGATACAGATAATTGATGTGGAAATGGGGAGAATTATTATGGGAAGAAATGTTTAGACTTTTCTGCAATTTTCAGATTCATGTTTGGGGTTATTGTGCAGTGGTAAAAACGGGCATTTACAGTATAAAGTACCACCTTAATCTCTTAATTTCACTGATCTTCAAAAATGTGAGGATGGCAACGGGTGAGTGAAAGATTTTCTTCTCAACAATATGAGGACCTGTAATACACCAGTCCTCATGCAATCTGATTTCTTAAATAAAACAGAACAATTTGTAGACTCATACACTGGCTTCCCTAGTTGCTTCAGTTTAAACTTGCTTCTATGTTAAACGGTGAGCTTCATGGGAAAGTTAAAAAGAAGATTGTAACTGTCATCTATCATAATAATGCGCTAAGTAGAGAATATCAAGTCTGAATGGACTATTGTGTTTCATGGGGGAGTGGAGCAGTTCCCTAAAACACAATCTGAGTTGCATTTTCATTTTTTGTTCCTGTCGCACAAATCTATAGCTACAGCAATTACACAACTGCAAACTAAACTGAAGACAAAGATAAACAGTTTAGATATCAGCTTTACGGAGTATGTTAAATGGAGGCAAACCTATGTTACAGCAAATGTAGCAAATACAGCAAAAGATAAAACAAATAAGTCTTTTCATATAGCAAGTGTAGGCATTATCTGTTCCTTATATGTAGGCATATATTTGTTTCTTAACTTCAAGAAAAAGTGGAAACCGAGTCATAATTCTACATTCCTCTACTACATTCCAGGTATTGTGGGATTCCCAATCAGGAACTCCTCTCTATTGGTGTAACACCTTCTTGAACAGGAAGGCAGTATATACTACGTACACACCCCAGTCACGCTGTGGAGGGCTTGCTGAGAGTCTGCCAACAGTCTCATTTCCACTTTAGTAGAAAACGATTGTAAAAGTTAAAAAAAAAAACAGTTTTGATCATTTGCATGTAACCCTTAACTGGTTAAAGTTGATTAAATTTCATATTGTTTTTAAAATAAATACAGCGATAATTTAATGATATGTAAGAGGAGGCTTTATATGTTAATGATATCGTTCATGTGTCTCGCAGTTTGTCAGTACCTCAGAACACACGCATTTGTTTGTAAAGATTTAAACTCGCGGAGTTTGGCATATTTTATCAGTGCCCGAAATCGCATGGCTGAGGCGACTGGTCGAATTAGCTCACGGAAGTACAGTAGCTTAGAAAATTACAGAAACACCGGTAGCAGCTCTGAAAAACAAGCCACCAATAAAAGCAAGAGCAGAGTCCGTGCAATAAAACCCTTAACAGAAGATGAGAAGGAAATTGCAAAACTGCACCAGGAGGCCTGTGAGGTAAGAATTATTATATATTTTTACATTGGTAACCATGTCAAGGAGACATGCAGTCTCAACCTCAAAAACACTGTGTCCTGTTAAGCCTGCCTCGGCCTCTAGTGGAAGCGTTTGAAAGGTATGCTGCATTCTTTGTGGCTGGTACGAATATCAATATCCGTCTGCATATGACATTTGTGCTTTTATTTGGCTTCAGGGGAGTGGAAACCTATGGTGATTATAAGGATACGTTTCTTAGTAGTTTTTTAAACTTCTTCCGAAGAATGGGCAGCCGAGCAAATGCATATTAGGCAGGTATACTATTACGTTACAAATTGATAAACCATTACATTTGTTACAAAAAAATATTTGCGGTCCTGCGTTAATCAAGTTGCCGGCTTTCGCCGGATATTCGAAAAACCCTTTCAAAACCTTGTTAGGAGCCACTGCATCAATTGGTATTGAAAATGTACAGTCCTCATCAACAACCAAAATGTTTTGAATTTGCACCAGAAAAGCACTGATACTTTTTACGCACGGATATGAGCTTTATCAACATGACTAGGTAGCTTGTTCCAGATTCCCACAAACCTTTATATATTTCTATAGGATAAAACGGTGCCGTATATTCACGGGTTTAAAGACACTTCCCCAACGTTTCTACTTATGTAACTTTGTGTAGCCCTCTTGTTTGTGTTACATTGTTCACACAAAGGGAAGAAGACTTAGTGTTCATAACATTTTTCCAGCATGGGGACCAATTGGCTGGTAATGGTACTGTACATAACTGAACCTTGATGGGTCTCCAGCCATTGTGCTGTGCATTCTCCCATATACGCCAGCAGCCATATCACCCTGCAACTCATACCTGGCAACCCACTGAAGCTAAGAAGGTGTGAGCCTGGTCAGTACCTGGATGGGAGACCTCATGGGAAAAACTAAGGTTGCTGCTGGAAGAGGTGTTAGTGGGGCCAGCAGGGGGCACTCACCCTGCAGCCTGTGTGGGTCCTAATGCCCAAGTATAGTGACGGGGGACACTATACTGTAAACAGACGCCATCCTTCGGATGAGACGTAAAACCGAGGTCCTGACTCTCTGTGGTCATTAAAAATCCCAGGGCCAGTATCGATTAGGGTTTTGCTCTGTACCCTAATAATGAAGCAGGGTGCAGGCCTCTACCCAAACTGATGTGATGCGATACTGGTGTGTTCTTTTCAGAAAGAGGAGAGAAACAAGATGCCACAATTCTGCTGGTGCTTCCCTGTGTTTGAGGATTGACTCTTGGAGGAGAATTTGTTGCATTCATGTACAGTATGTCATAGGGTGCCATACAGTAGCACCAGTAGTGCTTCTGATAGGAAGATGCTTTTGTCACAGTAGATCCTTTAGTAGTTTGCCTGTCTTCTTGTTTGCTGACTCAAGAACAGTGTTGACATTCTTATATTTTTGTGCTTTTCCGAAGCAGCACAACATGCCACCTCTGAATCCTCTCTTTTAGTAGCTGGTGTAACTTTGCTTTCAGAGTTCCAGCATAGTACATCGTTGGGTCTCCCAGTTGATTGGATGAGTATTAGTTTGCCAGAATCATCTTGGCTTTCATCACAACAGCAACACCTGTGACATGGCCTACAAGCTTGCATTGACATCAGTGTTAGATGTCTCATTCGTCCAATTGACGCTAATTCCCCAGTAAGGTACTGTAGAGTACAAAGCAAGAGTGGCTGTTGTAGCAGCATGCCCACAACATTCTCCTTATGCAGTACAGGAGTGGTACCCATAAACTCATACTTAGCCCTTGGTTATATTTGAGTATGTAATAAAAGTAACAGGTAACGGGGTTATTTCATGCTGAAAAGAAAAGAAAGGAAATGCAACATTTCGGCTGTGGAGCCTTCTTCAGGTGTGATGTAATAAAAGTAATTGCCAAATCTAAATTCCAAATAAATAAAAAATATGACCTATTATAGCTCCATTTCTAATTCTCTTCAGAGACTTTTGCTGCTTTGCATTTTAGGGTAATGACGTATCCTATAGGTTATTCTGCAGTATGTTTTGCTTATATTAGCAAGGTTTCTCCATAGTATAGCCGATGAGTAAGTCTGTGCTTGGTGCTTTAATGCATCTGGCTTTTAGGTACAGATAATAATCTCTCTAGGTAAGCAATCACACTCCTAATATAGCCACAGTAAGACAGACACACTAGCTTGACTAACTAGCTTGGGTTAAATAAACCTGTTCCCTCAAGTGGCATTTAATTTCACCATTCAGAGTTCTGGACATGGGACACATGGGGGTCACAAACAGCAACGATAAGTCATAACAACAGCAATAATTCAGCTATTTACGCAGTGTGAAGTCCCTTTGAGTATTCGTTTCAGTGCATACAATGAAGCAGGGAATCAAGAGCAACAAAAGACGGCACTAAAAAAAATATTTTCAAAGCATTAAGTTTAATAACACCATTTATAACATCAATAGTGTTAAATTAAGTGCTGTTAAATAGTTTTAATCAATGACATCTTTGTTTTATACTTAAAAGAAGTTCTGACCACAAGAAAAAAGTCCATTCAGCAGTCAGTAAAACAGTTATTGAATGCATTATCAAAACATATTATTTGAATTTGGGTTTTTTTCTTCACATATATCTCCTTTTTAATAGTACATTTGTTTTTGGGTTCAGTAGTAAATAGCTCACCTTTATCTGCATGAAGTTTGCTTATCAAAAGCTTTTAGTGCTTTAAGAAAACAGCATCATTTCAAAGTGCCGTAGGGCTTTCCACTGTAATGATTTATCCTGTTACAGCGTATTGCAGTTTTATAGCAAATCTACTGAAAGACTTGAGAAATGTAGTGTAATGCAGTGGAAAATGCACAATACACAGACAGTGCCAGCTTCACTATGGAAAGCCTAGATTCCATCTGAAATGACAAGGCATGCCATAGAAGAGCCTTAGGCATTTCTTGCATTCTAGTTTGTCAGATCAGAAAACTGGTGTATTTTTTTTAAAACCAAAGGTTCTTAAAAATATGATTATTAAACTACAAATTATCATTGTAAGAAACTATAAGGTATATACAATATATACCTATGATCTTTCCTGGAAGATTATTCTGAGCAATTATTCAAAGCCTTGAAAAGCATTGTGGACCAAAGGTTTGCGTATGGTGTAGTGACTTTAAAGTCCATTTTCTGTTCTTTGCAAAGCAAATTGAAAAATGTAGACTGTTGTCAGAAACGAGTGGCACACACTAATGGATCTCTTCGCATTTTAAAAATATGCTTCTTTCGATTAATACTATCCGAGGAAATCATTTGACAAAATCCAAAAGTAGATCGGTGCAAAAGTGTCAAAAATGTTTTGTATTCAGCAACATTATGGGCTGATCTCCTTCACGTCATTAAAAGTACCCTGATACAAAGCTATTCCGGATCAGATTAGAAATGCTTTATGTACCTTTGTTATATTCAGTGAATATCAGCCACGTCAGCAGCTACCATGTCTCTTGCTCAAAACCCTAAATAGAAATTGTGACTTTTGTGCCACATTTGACAAAAGTGAGTCTTTGTGGAAGTCAAAGCTGTGTATGTGAGTTTCATTCTGTTAAAGTCATAAAAATGGAACTGAGCTAACAGTAACAATTATTGGCATTTCTAAAAATAAACCAGTTTCACCACCTTGGTTCATACAGTTAGTTACAGACTGCCACAATACCGTGAGGAAAGTACATTTCACAGAAATGTCATTGTGAATAATAAAAACTGCGCATTTGTAATTTTGAAATAACATAGGTTTCCATTTCTGATGGAAACACCTTTTATTTATTCATCTTTTGCAAATATCCATGTCACATTTCAAGGAAGAAGGTGTACATAAAATGTATTATCTTAAGGATAAACTATTAAAAGCAAGGACATGGAAACATTGTTCTGTCACAGTCATTTTTCTAATCATCTAGACTGAATTCTGTTTTTAAAAAGTCACAGCCATATAGCTCTGCATCTCTGAAAAGAATGTGATTGTAACCTTGCATCCAGTTTATATGAAAATCATACAAGTCTGATACATAGTCGCATAGGAATGTGAATAGTCAAGGAAAAATGTTTGCCACCAGGTGGCACTGTACTCAATGGTGTGCGCAATATAAAAAACAGTGGAAATTAAGGTTTCGTTTTTTCAAGTGACATGCCAAAGAGCAGTAGCATGACTTACTTATGTATGATCTGATATATAAAGGCTACCATTTCTATGGACATGCTTTTACTGGCAGTTTGTATCATTGTAACAGAGCATATTGAAAAGTTGTAACAGTGTAGTCCACTGCCATTCTAATGCCTGTATACGTACTGTACCTGTAGTTTTTTAAAAGCAGCATTTTTCAGAAGTGATAACAAAACTTTATAATGACCCTGCATTTAGTAATATTTCAAAGTCACTATCATCAATGATGTCATTAGGAATAAACATCTGAATTTTATATATAATAACAAATGAAAGTTAACCCCATGCTGAATAACAGAAAAGAGAAACACAACTATTGAGCCTACTTCATATGTGTCACACACCCAAATAAGGCTCAACAGCTGAAATGTTGTTTTTTTCAAAACTCTGAAATTTTGGAATTAACTTTTACTTTGCTGCCAGTGCATGCTGACACAGCATGTGACAGCTCTATTTGAACATTTTATAATAGGTATAAAATGTTTAGTTGATGTAACTAATGTGTGATGAATAATAGAAAAGAACAGTAGATATTTGCTGTTGTGCATGATAATAGAGTACTGAATGAATAAAATGTACAAGCCTTTCATGAAACTCTGCAGTTCCCTACCAAATAAATGACAATGTATATAATATTTAATCCCTTAAGTATATTCTTAAAATTCATATTTATTTCAATTGAACAAGTCTGTTTGCAAAACGTTTAATATACTGTTTATTTTTGTATGTGTGTGTTTTTAGGCAAAACAGCAAACATATGTAGATCCTCTAACAGGGTATCAGGTACTGACCAAGTTTGCCCACCTTCAGAGAGGAAAGTGTTGTGGAAGTGCTTGCAGACATGTGAGTATGCTTGTATTCTTGAAAGATTACCCTTTCTGTCTTTTAAAATAAATGCTAGAAAAAAACATTGGTAATCTTTAAATCAATTGCTTGCCTTAAAGTTTCATTCGCCAAACATTTTTGAAAAGTCCATGCACATGCGCATTGCTGTCTGTAATCCCACTGTTGTTCAGTAGTGAACTTGTTACGTATAAGCAAAGTTTGTTCAGATCATGGGTGGCAAGCAGTCTTTTCAATAAATGACTGAATAAGAACAGTGACAGCAAAATAAAACTGTAGTAATCATAAAATAATCACACTTATAGAAATAACTTCAAAATGAATAAGTGTAATATAGAAATATCCAAGTTCACAAGTAATTTTTTATATTGATATATTTACTTGTGTTTTCTCACCCGGTCCATAGATATAGTTTTTAATTTTTATGTAATTCATTCTTACTTTTCTTCCTACAGTGTCCGTATGGCCAAGTCAACGTGAAAGACCCAGCTAAAAAGAAGAAATTTAATTCAGTGTTTTATATTTAGCTATGAACACTGCAATATACAGTATGCTCTTACTTTGTATGGAACAGAATATCACAGAATACTCCTAACTATTTTGAGAACATATATCTTTTAAATTTCAGATGTATTACCAAACTGATGTGCAATAATGGTTAATGTCTGAAAATGTTTGCTTGAATATGCACTTCATTAAAAAATAAAGCTGAATCAATTTTCAACCTAAGGACTTCAAAGCTATAGTACGATTTCTATAGTTCATTTTCCTGAAAAGTGAGCCAAGTGAACTAAAGTGACATGTTTAATAGAAATCATAGAATCCTTAGAAAATATATGATGAGTTTTTGTTCTAATCTTATGACAAAGCTTCCTGCTTTTGTTTTGGTGCTTCTTGTATTCTCTTTCTGATGCTTGTTATCAACCTAAACATACAACTCAATGGAGCATGAATCAGAAAGCTCTAAAACACCAGTTAGAAAGTTTTCTAACCTAAGTAAACATCTCTTGTAATGGCTGCTTTTCCCAGTTACTCAGTAAGAATAGTATTGTTTGCCCTACCTGTTACCACCTGTCTTGCAGTTAAAACTTTTACTGTATGTAAACCTTTCCTTTTAAAGGAACGTTATAGTTTTAACACCTTATTACTTGACTAATTTCTGTCTTGCATAACAACAAAAAATGTTTCAAAACAAAAAGGTTTGCGTTGACATCAGTTTTGCTCTGGATTAAAAATGTGGAATTTGAAGTCTGAACTCCGGTAACAGGTGGCAGAAGTACTTCTGACTTTACACTCCATTATTCACAGAGTCATGTTCATGTTTTGGCTTTATTGTAATGCTAGGTTAACAGTTTTGTACCTAACGAGAAAAGCTAAAAACTGATAATGTTTTTTTTTTCAGATTGCCAGTTTAAGATATTTTAAATGTACCTTTTTAAGTTTGTAACATTGTGTTCTTTTTCAAAAAACGGGTGGTTACCTGACCACAAGGTTATACTTTTTTTAATGAAGCCAATGAATGAAGTATTTTTGTGAAAATACTACGTCTCATAGAGTCAATTTCTATTCTATTACATTTGTCACACAAATCTGTCATTTTTTAATCTCCCTAAGGCACCTCTGCATAGTTACTGTATGTTGTTTGGTTTAATCTATTTTTCATAAAAATGCAACATAGCCAAACACACCACCAGAGTCTCTAAGGAGATGCAGATAGTCAAGTCTGCAAACAAATGGAATTGCTGTGTATTAGCATAGTTTCTTTAGTTCTTTTATATTAAACCAATTTTTGGATTCTCCTTGTATCTTTTACATCTCTGCTCAGTGCAAAGCCTTACTGTATATACCCACGTAGGAAGAACGAAAGCCCTGGCTGATTTACACCGTTCTTACCCTCGGCAGATCGGCCACTTGTGGAATCCTAGTCATGTGGCTAGCTAGTGACAAGAGCCAAGTCCGTGTGCACAGTGTGTGCCTCACAGAACTTGTCCTGCTTGTGAAGCGAGCATCTTTAATGGTTGAGCTACTCAGGAGGCCCAGTTTCTGCCGTGTTACATTCCATTGCCTTGAACTGCATATTCACATAGACTTCTGTCTACAACAATCTATCTACAACAATCACATAGCAGTATATCCAGTTGGCACAGAAGCACTTTGTGTGCTAAATTTGTTAATTCACTGTAAACCTTCACCATCACTTAATAATTTAACAATATTTGGTCTACTTAATAAATTTTCTGGGTGATGGGTGATCCCATAATCAACTGGCCACTGAGACAAGATAAGTTTTTTTAAATTTGCCCCTATCTGAAATTAGTGACATACAGGCATAACACTTTTACTAAGCCATTTTTGAACCCTGTTGCCACGCTCTCTTCATGGCACTTGTAACATCAAGTGAGCAGTTGATAAGTTTTACTGTTGGTAGTTCAACCTTTTAATCATTTTAAGATAAACGGAAAGTTGAAGAAATTTTTGACTACACAAAGTAATAGAAGCATGCAGCAAAACTTTGGAACTTAAGCTAGAGGAATCCAGAGTCTTTGTATAGCTCAGACTTGTTAAAAAAACTACTCTGCAGTATACAGTGATAGGAGTATGTTATAGAATGTTAAATGCATGTCTTGATAACAAGTCAACATATGATATTGGAATTAAGAATTTATGTACTAAATAAGAAGTTGTTTTTATGGGAGACTTCAATTTTCCCCAATAGACTGGGAAGAAGTTATAGAAAAGTCAGCAACAGAAACCAAAATGTTAGACATTTTTAAGGAGTGCTTTCTTACTGAACGTATCACAGCATCAACAAGAGAAAATGCTTGAGAGATCAAGTGAGAGAACAATTAAGGTGCTGGGAGTAATGGGGTTTTTTTTAAGTATACTTTGAGACTATACATATTGAGTCAGATTGAGGACACAAATTGAAACTACGGGCAGTGCATTAGAAGCTGAGAACAGGCATCAGTTCTTTATCCAAAAAGCTGTAAGAGCAGGGAACAAGTTGCCCACTCAACTTGTTCCCTGCTCTTACACATTGACATGTTGTTGGAGCCAATACCCTTGCTACTTTCAAGAAACAACTGAGATGCTTGGATCGATTAGCCATTAATTACTATACAGTATAAAACAGGGTAGATGGACCTACTTGCACTTAAGTTAATGCATAATAATTAAGTAAAGCATTAAGATATTTAATTTTGAAGGCAAACTGAAAAACCCATAATTTCTCAAAATGTTGGGTTATGGAACCAAAAGGTCCAAAACCAAAAATGAATAATGTTGAAGATGAAGAATGCTACTACCTACTGTATGTCTGCAACTATCTTTAGAAAACGGACGGACAGCTCCCTTAGATTGTTACTCTGATTCTGTCACACATGCTAGAATGTCTTGTTTTATAGGCTACTCCGGCTGAACGAGGGAATGTGTTTGTGGCAGAACATTGTCACTACTGACTATTTGCTTGGTCACAATTCAGTGCCAAGTGGGTCCCAAGGCAATTGCTTCCTGATCAGTAGCAAACACTTGTAAGCATCTACAAGGAGATTCATAATCATAAAAGTACTAAAGGGGACAGGTTTCTTGGATGCATAGTCAGTGCAGATGAGAAGTGAATTTATTTTCTTGAATTCTGAATTGAAGCAACAGAGCATGCAGAAGCAACATTTCTACTGGAATGGTGAAGGTGTCAGTCATCAAATACCTGGTCTGCTCACAATGGGTGTTCTCTTTTGCCTAGGGACTTATCTGTCACATTAACTGGATGTATTGCCATTTAGTGCATCCCTTCTTTCAGCTGACCGTGAAATAGGCCAGCTTACGTATCAACAGTAGCCCTCGACAGCTAATACTCAGTAGTTACATAGCCTGAATATTTTCCACAGCTGATGACTTTTCGACACAATTACTTTGCAGAAAGGTATAAAAAATGTGTTGTTAAATAAGAAATAACTATGCTGTTACTAAGTTACCTACCTCACATTTTCATGAGGTATAAATCACCTTTTTTGTTAATATACTTTATGTATCAGATAATTTGGATTTTATGCTTTAAAAAGTACTGAGATCACAAGAGATTATTTAAATGAGGAAATTCTGCTTTTACAACTGAGCGTTGTTAAAGTGTTGGGCAGAGCGGTGGCTCTGTGGCCGGAAGGTTGCCGGTTCAAATCCTGCAGCTGGCAGAGGAATCCTACTCTGTTGGGCCCCTGAGCAAGGCCCTTAACCCCAACTGCTCCAGGGGTGCTGTACAATAGCTGACCCTGCACTCTGATCCCAAGCTTCTCTCCCTATCTGTGTGTCTCATGGAGAGTAAGCTGGGTTATGCAAAAAGACAAATTCCTAATGCAAGACATTTTATATGGCTAATAAAGTGATCTTATCTTATCTTAATCACTACATATTAGGCTAATATGTACTAATGCACTTTCTTCTAATATAACATTTGTTGCTAATGACTTTAAAAGTCTAAAAGCACAATTGAATTACATTTCATTTTAAAAATTAATCATTGTTAATGTGAGACATAGCACAATGTTTTTTTTTAAAAAGGCAAGCTGTAAAACACTGATTGTGCCCTCAGATCCTTTCCAGGTCAGTAACATCATTGTTGTCAAAAGGAAAGACAAATAAATAAGCTAAATAATGGTAAGTTAAAGGAAGAGTTTTCATTGTTTCCAGAAGCTTTAGAAAGTGGATGCAAGTTGAAGTTAACGCATAAACATTACAAAATACTACTTAGAGATAAGTAGAATTATAGATTCTTGGTTCATTACATGACTGTTACAATGTTTGTTTGTATACAAAAATAAAGAAAAAGATTTCAAAAAGGCAAGGAGCTTTCACCTGCATTATAAGATGTATTGAACATCCTCTGCAACTCAAAACCTTGAGTTTTCTAGTACATACAAACTTGACTGGATTAAACAGAAAATACATTGCTCCACTTAAGATAGAAGCATGTTTGGGGAATATAATGAAGAAAAGGAATTCTTGAAAATACCCCAAAACTTCTTCGTACTATGATAGTGTATTGCTAACGATGGACCAAGAAATGGTCAATTAGAAGACACCAAAGGACATGACAACGTAAATGATCTTCTATGCTGTGTGGTTTCTACTATTCATCTCCATACCTTAATCCTGTGCCTCTGAGGTCATCATTGCAGCATTGAAATAGAAATTGTCAAAGAAAATGTCAACAGCATGTGTCAGATTATAGCGTCCTTCAGTGTGACATGGTAATCTTACCTTCCTATAGTTTGCCATCACAATCAGTGTCATGCATATTACATTACTGTATGCATCAGTTGGTTACATCATATAGTTTGCTAACATTAAATTAAATGCTTTTATAATCATTTTATGAATTATTTCATATTTGACCATTAATTTTACTGGTTTTACTATAATTACTTGCATGACAGCCCTATGCATAACATACTGTATTTAAAATGTGTGATCTATAATATACCCAAGACATCTGATTCTGACTGATGTTGTTGATGTACTTGATAATGTGAAGCATTTTTATTAAACAGTGTATACCCGTTTTTTTCTGTGTACCATTACCGGGGGTGAATTTACTACTAGAAAATATTTAATTAGCAAATTAAAAATAATCATTTTAATTCAATAAATTGATTTTAATAAAGTATATGAAATGCTTATTATATTTTGTTGTAGGAATAAACATAAATCCTTTGGGCCTATACATTTATACATGCAATCAAAGCAGGCAATTAAATCGGTCAAATCAAGAAATCAATTTTGTCTGAAGCACACATCACATTTAGTATTGATCCTTTTTTTGCTTCCAGGAATAAAGTGTGCTCAATAAAGACAATAGTCTACATGCATTCTTGTACCATCACACATTAAAATTCCTATAGATCATGTATTTGTGGAACACTTGGGGAAGATTAATTGGTAATTTATAGAGAAATGAACACTGCAATTAACAATTATGGTCATAGAGTCCTCTTAAGTCATGTGTCAGTCACTACAGTCACTATTGGTAAAAAGCCCCAATCCAGTTCTTCCTAACATCACAATCAGCTGTTTCTGCATGCATAAAAAATATTTCTGCATATATATGCATTTTTTAGCTGAGATCAAGATTGAAAACAGAGGGTGATGTGTATAAGCATATTCTGTTCGCCAGCAAAATCACTTCTTTTATCAGTTTAGCAGTAAAATCACTTCTAACTAGGAAATGGAATTTGAGTGATCACCTTGTATGTGATGTGTCCAGGATTCCTGTATCATATCTAAAGTATAAGCATATCGGCACACACAATGTTGCTCCTCATCTAAATTACATCTGAGACTTTGAGAACTATGAAATAATATTGGTTCATTTTAAACACAGCTTGCTCTGGTTTCCTCACATTGTCCAATGGCATACTGGTAGGTTAATTGAGAAAAATTGGTTCTGGTGTGAGTGTGTGCATGCTTCTGTGTGTGCCCTGTGGTGAGCTGGTGTCCCTTGCAAGGTGTATCCTGCCTTTCACCTGTTGTTTGGAAGGATAGGCTCTAGCTCACACGCAACCCTGTATTGGATAAAGTGGTTAGAACATAACAGACACACTCTGTTACATTTCATACTGCAAAACTCAGAGACGTCTATGGCAGTACTAATTTACTAATTACCAAAATAAATATAAATAGATTGATTCAGACTTATTAGCCCCCTTTTTTCCGTCTCTGTTGCTCACTAACTGAAAGTCTCCTTTTCTTTGTTTCTATTTGATGATAGGGACTTTAAAACAAAATACTGTTGTCTTGCAGTA